TGGCAATACCATACCAGGCCATCTTTACTTCTGTGCTGCTGCTGGCAGTAGCTTTGCCTTTAGAGGTGGGCTCCCAGCCAGCAGCCACTGTTCTCTAGCTGCCCAGCTCTGAAGGCAGCACCACCAACCACATCAGCACAGAAGTGAGGTTAACCACATAGCAACATCCATTGGAGCAATCTTGCGACCCTCACACAACTCCTTTCTGGGTCAGGATCCCAACAATTACAGCACCCTGACATTTGGATTTAATTATGTGAAATCATGACATTTACCATTTTTACAATCCTATTACCATGAAACTGGTCAAAATGGACCATGAATTTGGTCCTACCTATACATTACTATTTGGTATGGCAAATCTCTATGTGCAGTTTCCATATACATGCAGTTGCAATATACAACCAACTATCTTTAAACCCCTAACTTTGCCTTTTCAAGTTTCTGTTTATAGAGATCTTAATCTGGATGTTAAATACCGGGTAGGCTTCCTCGCCATTTCTGGACATAAGACCAAAACAACAACAGATTAATGTGGTTCAAAACAGTTTGCCAGAATTACTACTGCTAATGAGGATACCTAATATATTTATATGAGCAGGTGATGTGATATAATAGCCAGCATAAAATATTATTCCAACTTCATCAGCACTGCTAATTTTTTTTCATGTTTTATGAAATCTTTTCAAACCCATCCTTTATAGTAGCTCTGATGGAGAACTAAGTGAATTGAACATTCGTTATTCTCTGTGCTAGGGTTTTATACTGCAGTCCATTACTGTAGTGTCTTCCACCTAAAATCAGAAAGAATACACAAGTCCCTGGTAAAGTTCATGGCGCATCGGGCACTACTGCAGTCCATTACTGTAGTGTCTTCCACCTAAAATCAGAAACAATAGACAAGTCCCTGGTGAAGTTCATGGCGTATCGGGCACGTCTCTCTTTTCAAGGCAGTTTTCGATTAGGGTAGGGATTTTATTTTGAGAGGCTACGTCTACATTGCATCCCTCTTGCACAAAAGCCTATGCAAATGAAGTGCAGATTAGCATATTGCCATGCTTCATTTGCATAATTAGTTAAGGGCCGTTTTTGTGCAAGCCATCCTAATTTTTTCAGGAAGAATGGCTCTTGTGCAAGAGGGGGGTTTTGCCCCAAAAGGAGCTGCATAGACGGCTCCTTTTTGCACAAAAGCCTCTTGCACAAAAACGACCCCTAATTAATTATGCAAATGAAGCACAGCAATATGCTAATCTGCACTTCATTTGCATAGGCTTTTGCGCAGGAGGGATGCAATGTAGACGTAGGCTTAGATTTTAGTAATTCTTCAGTTGCAATTTAAATGTGCCAAATGATGGAGACTTTGCATCCACTGGTAATTGAGTCAAATGGTTAATTACTCTCACTTAAAACATTGCATCGGTTCTCTGCAATATCATGTGCCTTTGTGACACACTGAGCTATTTTTGGTTCATATGGATTCTACTTCTGTGTTCACGTTGCTAATAAAATAGTATGCACTCCCACTATTCCGGAAATATTGAAGATTCTTGGTAGGGACTCCGATTAAATGGAAAATTGTAAGTTTGATCGGGAGGACCTTGCAGAGAATAATTGAGACGATTGTAATGACAAAATATCAACATCATGTAAAATCAACCAACAACCTGGATGTCTACAACAGGCACAGCTCTAATAGCACTACAGAATGTTCTTATTGCCGTGGATATAGGCAAGGGGTCCATGCTTATGCTGCAGCCATTTGGCACAGTGGACAAGATACTGGTAACAGGAGGAGATGGCCTAGCACTATGACAATGAGTAACTGTACCTACTGTCTGAAGACCCTTGTGAAAAAGTGAGAATTTCACAATGTGAAAGTTGTCCTTGCCAGACTCAGTGACAGAGGCTTTGGGGGTGATTTTTAGTTTTCAGCAACATTTCATAATCTTAATTATATCTAAGGACTGAAGAAACATTTGAAATGCATTAAAACACAAACCACTATGTACTGTTGAATAACTTCAAGACACTAGAAGCAGCTTATTGGATTAGTTAGCTATGTGCATTTAACAGATATTCAGAAATCAACCATAAAAAGGGGAGATTACATGTATTGATTAGTGACACTGGTACTTTTAGTAGAATTTAGTCAATAGTTAATGTACATTGTTACCTTTTTTACAACCTGTAAAAAATTCTGTAAAATGCAAATTCTGCATTTTTTCCGTGACAAATGGATTTCTAAAATTCCTGCTAATAATTTAAATTTGAACCACAACCTACAATTCTTATGTACTTCACAGACCCTATTACACATTGAATAGCCGCACACTTATTCAGCTGCCCAGACATTTTAAAAAAATGTGTGGAGCTACTTCCTGTACATCCAAGCTTCTCCCCCTTTAGCTCTGTGTGTTAGTGCATTTTCCTGAACTAGGTGAGGGACAGTTCTTGAACATTTGTCACACCTGAACTAGGTGAGGGACAGTTCTTGAATATTTGTCACACTGTTTGTTCTTGCTTCAGCCTTTGAATTTACAGAACCTCCTTACGTGGATAATCTTTTCACAGCACCAGTTTGTAACAGAACGGTTACCCTTTTTAAACATTATTGCTAGTCTTACATTTTACAACCTAATTTAACATTTTTGGACAGTAAAAGTTGTATATCGAGTTAGAATCCCCTTTTCTATCAGGCACATTAGATGTGGATTCAGACTTACAGCACTCAGGGCTGATTGATAAACTTGTACCTTCTTAGTTGTAACTGCCTCCACTTTCTATCAGGCACATTAGATGTGGATTTAGACTTACAGCACTGAGGGCTGATTGATAAATTTGTACCTTGTTAGTTGTAACTGCCTCCATTTCTGCTGGGCTGCTGCATGCATCTGCACATACTGCAGGAAATTCTACTATAAACTGTCATGTTTCCTTTTTATTCATTTTCAAGTCCAAATCCAGCTGCAGATCACTTAAGTTGGCCCATGATGTACACTTGAGTTCTCAGTTCTGGTGGGGTCTCTTTCTTTTTGTTCATGGCAGTTAGCTGAGTCACAAATAGCTCAAATGGCTGGCCCAAACCATGTATCAAGAGCTTGTTTGCTCTCGGTTAAGTTCGGTAGCACTACCTGAGCTGATTAACTGCTACCCCTTTCTTAATTTGTTCAACCATTCACTTGAGCTATTTTAGAAATGCAACTGAAGGTTTTCCAGTAAAGATGCACAAATGATCTGTTCCAGAACTCCTTTATACAAACTCTCTTGCAAAATCACCTATTTCTATTTCCATTTCCATTTCTCACTGCACATTTCACAGCTTTTTCCATGAATTCTTACAATTGAATAGGTAGTTCCTCTCATTTGCTTAATTTTTCTGCATAAAACAAACTGGTTTTTACTAAAAGTTAGTATTTTCACATTGAAGGGCCATCAGCTTTAGTGAACATCCAGCCATATTTACTTCATGTGTGCAAAATATTTTGATTAGTTTATTGGTTTTAATGGCTGTTTTAGTAAAATTTTATTTGCATACCAATTTATTTTCTTTATTAGATATATGAAAAGATTTTTGTTCTATGAGGAATTTGTGACATGCATTAATAGTTCAGACAACCTAATTTTGTAAACAGGCCAGACTGTATTCATTTGGTACATTTATACATACAATCCACAGGGTCAAGTTGACTTCAGACAACCTAATTTTGTAAACAGGCTCAGACTATTCATTTGGTACGTTTATACATACAATGCACAGGGTCAAGTTGAAGGTATAGCAATTAATGATTTTCATGCACTTAACTCCTTTAGAGTACACTGCAGGGGGGTGTGGGTTTGTATATATCTAAAGGGCCTTCACAAGCAGTTTCACAACAAGAGTGCAGCATTCCTGACTGTCTTATTCAGGGTTCTCATGCCCAAGCAAAGAAAGATAGATATACCAGTAGCTTACAGAAATAGAGATGCTTAGGGTGGTTAAAGCTCATATGCTTGTTCACAATGATCAGAAAATCTTCAGCCCTACAGTTCTGAGTAGTTTGTTACAATTTTGTCTTTCAACACTTCTGAAAATCAGGCCCTCCCCCCCCACCCCCATTTTTCTACTGTTGCACTGTTCTGCCAGTTCCAGGTGTTTTTAACCATGACATCTAGACCTGTTCTGGCTCTTGTCTAAGCTATCCTTCCCCGTATTGCAACTATTAGTGGAGTTGCACTTAATGGCAATGCGTCATTGGGGAAAATTTAAGAAAAATGCCTAATGCAGAAACATCCTTATTTAGGTGGATTCTGATACCTAACTCTGAGCATTTGAGTTTGACCTTAATTGTTTCAACTTCACTGCTGTAAATGAGGATCTCTCCTACATGAGAGAATTTCACTCTGGAATCCTTAGATTACAAAAGTGAAGAGTATTATTAATGAACTAAAGTATATTTTTATTCATTATTTCACAAGTTATCCCCATAGCTCTTAACTTAGAAAGAAAATTCATCTAACCCATCTTCACTTGAGTTATATTAAAATGATCTTTATCAGTAACATTGTTTTTACAAACTCCTGGAATATTAAAAACATCATTATGAACTTTCAAAGGTTTTTTTAAATCTAAAAATCATACCAGAACCTGAAGTCACAAACACTCATTTATAAATGTGTCCATTTCTATCTCTAACAATGTTCTTTGTAGCTATCTTTAACATTTCTATTAGTTTTAGCCAAAATGGTGTTAATGAAATCAACAGCTTCTGGTACATTACTTTTGTTACAAATACTCTTGTTTGTGAACTATTTTACAAATATACTATTCCAAAGAGGTGTCTGGGGGAGGGAAGAAAAGAGGGGAAAAGGTGGTACTCTAATTGGTTGTCTGTATTCATTCTCAAGACCCAACACTGGAACTAATTCTTCAAGAACTCTTACAGTTTATGGGATTCAACCTCTATAAAGTTCTGATAAATGCCACCATTTTACACGAAGCACAGATTGGACTGAGGAAAGCCAAACAACTAGACTTTATTTTATTTTTTGTTTCTTCCTGGCTTGAAATTGTTCTGTTTTATTTTTGACAGATTTTATTAGCATTGATAAAGTAGGATCTACAGATTTCTTAGTGAGGTTTCCCTTCTTTCCAATTTCATTCTCCTGTATCTCCTTTGCTTTTGTAAGACTCTGCTCCTTTTGTTCTCTTCTGCGAGCTTTCTCCTCCAAAATTTTTTCCACTGCTTTTGTCTTTTTGAAGTTTGGATCAGAAGGATCCAAATTAAACAAGTGGGAAGTATAGAGTGCTTGGAACCTTGTATCAGCAACATTCACCTGAAGAGAAAGCTTGGAACCTTGTATCAGCAACATTCATCTGAAGAGAAAAAAAAGAGAACCTATTTCAGTTAACCTTTCTACCAGTGAAAAATAATATTGAGAAACATACCAGAAAATATTGAAATAATATTTAAATGATAGAATATGTATGAGATATAGGTAACACTAGGTTGCTGAGTCAGATATATTTAAGCTGTAACCTAAACTTTAATATTTAAATTGCAATTGGTAATTCTCAGAATTTGGTCAAGTTAGTTAAATTAAACTATGTATTCATGGATGGTGAAGAATGGGGGATTCCTCTGTCCTTTGCATTGTGTGCAATGTGAAGTGGGCAAGTCAACAACATACAGGAAATATATACCTGCAAGCCCTGTATATCAAAAAGATGGACCAACAAAGACATTCCTTGTTGGTTAAGAATAAGTGAGCATGGAAGGAGTCAGTAGAGTCAGGCCATGAAATGGACAATAATATTCCAGCCAGCAAACTGTCTCCTTAAATCCCTATACACAATCTGATTTTGGGCCTTCTATTAGGGAAATTTTGCTTCTAATCTAAGCCATGTAAAGTGCACCCAGGTCCCATGGTGATAGGGACATACATGTGAGTAATAAACATTCAAAACCAATATGGACTGATCAAAGTTGTATCCTTGTTTGAGTCCAGCATTAGAGTATTAGCCTTTCACTTTGTAGGAATACCATAAAGAGGTTTATATTCAATTGCATTGTTAAAAGGTTGTCAAACCATATTACTGAGTTACAATTCTTACATCAGAATTCCAGTCCACTCCTCTTGGAAAAAAAGCAGAGATACCACTAAATTCTACTGTTTCAATACTAGGAATCTGTATTAGTTTTACCTGAAAGTCATCTTCTAACAACTCCTTCCTTTTCATTAGTAGTTTCTTTTTCTTCTTGCTCAGGTTCTGTTGTTCTACAATCTTCTCATAGTTAAAATGTTTTCTGTCATCATCCTCATCGTCCATCAGAAGCAATGCCATTTCAGCCTGTTACAATAAAGAGAGTCCATTCACATAACATCTCTTAGTGGCGTATGGAATACATGTGTTCCTTCTGAGACGAGCACTCCTGATTCCAAGGCTCCAGGGGAACAATTGTAATTTGTAAACAGATTGCAAGCAATTATAAAACAGAGTAATGTTTATTATAATATTTAATAAGTCTCCTAAAATATTTGGTGAACTGGTGAAGAGAAAAACTACAGTGTTATTCAATGAGTTTTATGCTCAGTGGTACAGCCCTGCAGGTAAAGGTTTCATTCTCATTTCCACAAAGCTGTTATATCTTTATTCAGTTTGTAGGATTATGACATGGGCTACATTCCACAACCATCTGTGCTTACCTTAAAGCATTTTGTTTGTTTTTAAACTCTCATACAGCTGATTTTTATTTTTAAATAAAGAATAATCCAGAACAGTTTCTAATTAAATATAATCATCGTCACTCATTTTCATCTCCACAGTGACCATATGGTTAAACATTCCATTTACAAGAGTTGAGAGACCTGTGTCATCTCAACACAGATTTTTAAGACAGAAATGAAAACAATATTTCATTTCTCACTGGTAATTTCTTTTCTGCTACCAATGTCACTCTCAGTTCTTTTCATCTCATCTGGATGGCTAAAAACAAAATTAAGTTTTGAGGAAAAACATTGTAAAAAAATAAGAATAGAAATGTAGCCCTGTTAGTCTGGTCTAGCTGAAACAAAAAACAGGACTACGTAGCACTTTAAAGACTAACAAGATGGTTTATTAGGTGGTTTTTGTTTAAATCAGATTTTTGAATGTTATTTAAATATAAGTTTTCTTTATAAAATAAAGCTGGTTAATATTAAATCTGCATTTAATACAAAATATGTTAAGGCCTAAATACAAAGAAAGAAACAAAGGGAGAAAAAAAATCTAGCTTGAAGTAAAGCTTTATAACTCTGACACTATAAGCCTCACAATGCATTAAGAGTATTACCCTCTGAAGGGTGAAGACGCCACACATGCTATTGCGTGTAAGAAATAGCCAAAGTCATCACAGGCATTAGGACTCACCCTCAAATTCCATGAGACCATCGTGTGTCTCCTGAGGGTTATTCACTGAGCCTACTGGCGAGGTGTCATACTCCTATTGTATAGCAGCTCTGTTCTCAAATTATAAATATTTATTTTTTTACCTATCATTCACTATTTTCTATCATACTAAAAATGTACACTTAAGAATATGAAAATATCCAACTACTAGAAGACTTACCTAGCGGTGCCCAGGTCTGGCCTGGAATAGGGCTGAACTCCCTGGCAACAGACTTTGCACCCGAGGCTAGACCCAGATGGGGAGGCCAGGGTGTTGGCTAATGCCAGCCATTGGCTTCCCCCTGGGGTGCTTGCTACCCAACCCCTGGCCATTCCACAGTATAACTCTCTCCTACCAGACCCCTCCCTTTCCATTTATGAGAAACAATCAAACTCTCAGCACACCCCATTGTCCTGGCACAATCAAATCCTGACCTTTATCAACCAAATATGTCATCTCATCAAAGAATGAAATCAGGTTTGGCACAACCTGTTTTCTATAGAACCATGCGGATAGTCAATTATATTCCTATCAACAGAGTAGTCCTACTGAACTCACAGGAATTACTCACACACGATGAACGTGTGTTCTAAGAATTGGGACCTCTGTCTGCAATCCTTAATGTTTTAACACAAAAATTACCTTGTGTTTTTCTGTCTCTGCTTCTTTTTCTGGGGCACTTTCTTCTCTCTTGGATTTCTTTGA